GCTCCTTGGATATAGCAAATCCTATACCTCCAATGCATGCCTCACTCATCATCAGTGGTAATACTAAAAAACCTGGGTGGGCTTCTCTGAAGATAATCCAATTTATTAAATCTCATGGAATTTAAAGATAATCTCAAGCTTTTGGTGGGTCTCACTCATTATCTTCAAATGCTTTAGAGTTGGCAATATTTGCTACTTGCGCTCCTTGGATATAGCAAATCCTATACCTCCAATGCATGCCTCACTCATCATCAGTGGTAATACTAAAAAACCTGGGTGGGCTTCTCTGACCATGGCTTGATTCCTACAGGCACGGGATCCTCCACGCTGCCAAGTTAAGGAGTTTTTAGGGGACATATACCCAGTAATTTTCCCAAATGCTACCCATTTACTCTGTATATTAAAGCCACATGAAATCCACTGTCATTAATTAATCTCAAGGTGAAGAGAAGGCAGCAAGATTTTTTTGTGCCTTTTTAAATGAAAATAAGTTTGCTGTTGATATGAGCAGAAGCAGAATTGAGCCCTCGCTGTGAAAACTAAAAATTGGGGATTGTCTTTGAGGGTACCCAACTGCTAAAAATGGTGATGAATGATGTCTTAGTAGTTGTAAATGTGCAGAGAATTAAAACAATTCTTTCTTATTGCTAATATGAATTTTGCATTCCTCACTAGGGAAGAAGAAAATGCAAAAACTAAGAAAATTAAAAAAAACCCTAAAACAACAAACTTCCACCAGTCCCAATCACCACCTGCTCATCAGTTAAGGCAGTGACTTTAACTGCTGCCTTTTCGCTGTCTCCAACATTTTGGCAGGGGTTAGACTAAGCTAGACACCCATGCAGTCTCTTGGAATGCTGTGGTTCTGTGATTCTATGCCTGTGGGCAGGTCACCTAGGCCTAGATTCACAAAGGTATCTAGGTGCCTAGAAAAATGATAGTAACAATGATTCATGAAGCCTGAGTTTGGCACCTAAGCTCCCTATAGACTCAGTGTGATGGTTGTGGCATTTCTGGGAATGCAATCCACAAAAGTTAGCATGTTAGGCTGGGAGACACATGAGTTAACCCACGGGCAATCCTGATAAGAGAAGTATCTCTCATGGAGACAGATGCCTAAGCTCACGGGGCCTGCAGGGAGATGCCTATTTCTGTTAGTAATCCATGTGTCCAGTTTTCAACTGGAACGTCTGGTTGAAAAGGGGACCCAACAGCCAATTACTGGAAGCAGGGAGGCGCTGGGCCATCACTCATGTCAGCCCCTACTTGGCCAGGACTGCCGGCTGCCTGCTACTTGCATCAGGTGGCTACAGCTAATACTCTGGTTCCACAGGTGAGTCCCTTTGACCCAGATGGTGGGTGATGGGGGCGGGGGGAAGCAATGTGTGTTGGGGAAAGTGAAGAGGAATAGGGTAGGACCTCCAAAAGGGAATGAGCAGGGCCGGGCCGGTTCTAGTAGTCCTGCTGGAGTGTCCAGTTTTTAAAACAGGTGTGTGTGTGTGGGCACAAAGGCATGTCCCTCAAAGGGGGGGGGCAAGGGACCAGCAGCCAGTGGGGCCAGAGAGCAGAGTCCTAGCTGCCGCCCAAGCCTTGGCTGCCAACCCCGCACATCCTGCAACCCTGTATGTGTCCCCCTTCCCAGAGACACGGCCCCACTCTGGGCCCCAGCAAGGAGGGATGGAAGCTTGGAGGAATGAACAGGGCAGGTATGGAAAGAAGCAGGGTAGGAGCGGGACCTGGAGTGGATGTGGGGTTTGTCCCAAGCCTAGGGACAGTGGCCTGGCGAGGAGTCATGGGGGGAGGCAGTCACTTGGCCGATGTTCCTTTTGTGGCCCTCCCCATCAGTTAACTCTGTTTTAATCATTAACCAAGTTGGCAGCTCTAGGGAACTCCATGAATGGGAACTCTCTGGAAGTTGGGGTGGTGTTGGGGCATTAGTTAACTGCCTTGTTCTGTAAAAAGCAAGAGTTGGTGGTGGTATTTCTGCTGCTTCCCACCTTCTAACTTTTATTCCCAGGCTTAAAGTTCTCATTTGGGAGATGGGAGACACAACCTTAAAAAAGGATTTTAATAGGAGAGTGCCTGAGTTATGGGATACTCTGATGTGTTGCCC